AGAGCATGTCTGGTCTGAAGTATAAACAAAATCATGGATTCAGGTATATATGGCTAAATTAAATTAACAAAAAAAGAGCAAATTTTTTTCTACACTTATAATTAAACATATGAAGAGTCACCATTTTTGCATTTAGTATTTGACCGGACATGTTGAGCAATTATCTTGCTCTAATACTATTTCACATATAATAGTATCCATAAACATTTTTATGATCTAAGAAAACTTATATAACCTTTTTTGAGAATTATTGAACCAGTCTTATATAAGAACTAGTTACCTCGGATTGTGTTTCTCCTTTCACCCCATGGTGATGTGTCTCTGATTTCCCACCTTTCTCATACTCGAACTCCAAATAAGTGATACGACTATTATCTTGACCAATACGCAGCGTTTTGACACCGTCGTAAGAACCATCATCCCAAACACTCCCATCTGTACCACCTTGGGCTTCTAGCTTGTAAAGAGGGAACGACGTGGTCAGACTGTCTACTTCCACGTAAACTCCAAGAGCATCGAGACCATTACCCGACCGCCCATGAAACCCTACGATCTTCTTTCCCTCATCCTCAAAATCAAACTTTGTACCGTTCACAATTCCTAACAAGTTTGGACCAAACGTTGGAGACTTTCTACCCTTTGAGGTCTTGAAGACAAGGGACGTGATCACCTCCGTGGCACCCAGAGCCACTACGTTGTAGCTTCCCTCCACCGCTACGATGTGTTCCTCCGGATATTGAAGTACAAACTGTATGTGAAAATGTCACTTATTCAATCACAACATTAAAATACACAAAACATTTCATATTAATGAAATTTACTATTTAAAAAAAAAAAAAACACAAAACCAAGCACATATATATTATTGACTGTAATATAGTGGTTTGTACTAGTGTCGTTGTTGTGTCATAGTCCTAAATGTGTGTGTGTGAGTTGTAATTGATAAAAGTCGAAATACTGATGTAGAAAATTAAGAGCAAGTGGAATAGAGAACTACCTCTTTAGGATGTTGATCTACTGTCCCATATTCACGTGTCACTACTTCGCCGTCTACCTTCACGTACTCAAATTTGATGTAAGTGATACGTGAGAGATCTTGCCCTACACACACTTTTCTTACACCCTCGTATACATCATCGTCCCATTCACTTCCTCCTTCACCACCGCAACGTGCCAATTTCTGGTACATCTTCGCCGCCATTGATCAAATACTGTAAAATGAAAAAAATATTAAAGTATCTCATTATATGCAGTATATCAAAATCCAGTAAAGTATGTATATATACAAGCTTTATAAAAAAAATTGTAAGTTGGGTTTGTGATTGGTAGTAATACATGTAATAGCATTCTAACCTATTATACATAGCAAGACCACCAAAGTGGTCCAAGAATCTACTCATGGGTCACTGTTTATAGTGTGAGGTTTTTTTGTTTCTTAAAAAAAAATTATAGTGTAATGTTGATAGATCTATTCATATTGGTGTAATATAATCAATGACGACACACGTATATTGTATAATATAAAACATGCACACAGCGAACTAAAAACGCATCCACACATTTCTTTCTCACTGTTTGGTTTACAGAATCATATACTAATTGTTCTCACTCTCCCAATCATTCCTCTCTTCTGATCTTAAACGATCTCTTAAAGTAAAAATTGTACATAAAGTTCTAGTTTGCAGAAACAAATTAAAAAAAATCTTCTTACAATTCCTTTTGGAATGACTCCTAAAAAAATTGTTTGCTTCACAAAACATATATACATATATGGGACAATCATATGTACAAAAAATAGTAAAAATGTAACAAGCTACTTAAAAAAAAAATGAGAGAGATAGAGAGATAACCAGTAAATTCTTGAGCTCTGATTGAGAATGGAAGAGATGAATAAGAATGAAGGAGATGGTGCTGAAATGTGTGTATTTATTGACACTCTTTGGCAGACTCGTCCTTAGTTGTTTCCATCTATTTTTTTGTCACCTTGTATCCATCAATTTAATTTTAATTTTTTCTTAAAATATATACTTGTACGTTGTAACTAACTCGTGATTCACGAGGGAAATGCAATAATTCTTTTCGACAAGAGTCCATAATGATCAATCCCATTACTAGCATACAACTTGTCAAATGCATGATGACCTTACATTGTGACATCAAACTCTGTGGACATTGTAACATGTGATTTAAGATGAAGAAAATTAGCACTGGTTTAATCCTCAACATTGTAAATGACGACCCACTATTTTCTTAGTAACTTATAGAAAAGACGAGATAAGTTGGGGGAAAAAAGTATGATACTAAATGAGAATGCAAGAGACACAATAGGTTCTAGGGTGAAACAACAAGTAGAGGTTTTTTTTTGTTTGTGCACACAAGTACATATCAAAGAGGCATTCACATGACATCAGAAACTGTCAAATTGGTCTTGTAATTTA